CCGTGCCCCCGGCCCCCGCCCAGCCCGGCAGTGCCTCCCCGCCCCAAGGGGCCACCTCGCCGGAGGAGAAGGCGGGGGTGGGGGGCCCGCACGCCATCCCGCGCCGCCACGCCCCCCTGGAGCAGCTGGTGCGGCAGGGGTCCTTCCGGGGCTTCCCCACTCTGAGCCAGAAGAACTCGCCCTTCAAGCGGCAGCTCTCCTTGAAGCTGAGCGACCTCCCGTCCACGCTGCAGCGGAAGGCCCACGAGGGGGACGCGGGTGAGGCTGGGGGGTGGCAGATTGGTGGGATTGGGGGCTGGGGAGACACACCACCACCACCCTCCCAAAGCGGCTGCTCTTGCTGGCTGGTGCTCAGACTGGAGGGGCTTCCTGGGGGTTGAAAGCCTTGGTTGACTGGGTGGGGGTCGGCACAGAGGAGAGCCCCCCCCCTTCCTAAAAGAGGAAGCTTGGCACCCAGCCAGTGTTCCCTCTAAGCTGAGTGTGAGCTGGCTCACAGTTTTTTAGCCTCCGGCACACACGTTTCTGTCTTCGCTCAGGAAGGAGGGCTCCAGAGCAGTGTTCCCTCTAAGCTGAGTTAGTGTGAGCTGGAGATGTTGGGGATTGAACCTGGGACCTTCCGCATGCCAGGCAGAGGCTCTTCCACTGAGCCACAGCCCCTCTTGACAGCTCTCCAGGGTCTCAGGCGGAGGCCTTTCCCATCACCTCCTGCCTGGTCCTTTTATAACTGGAGATGCTGGGGATCGAACCTGGGACCTCCTGCATGCCAAGCAGAGACTCTGGCGCTGAGCCACAGCTGTTCTCCACAGCTCTCCAGGGTCTCAGGCTGAGGTCTCTCCCATCATCTCCTTCCTGGTCCTTTTCAACTGGAGGTGCCGGGGATTGAACCTGGGACCTTCTGCCTGCCAAGCAGAGGCTCGGCCACTGAGCCACGGCCCCTCTTGACAGCTCTCCAGGGTCTCAGGTGGAGGTCTTTCCCATCACCTCCTGCCTGGTCCTTTTTAACTGGAGATGCTGCCGGGGATTGAACCTGGGACCTTCCGCATGCCAGGCAGAGGCTCTTCCACTGAGCCACAG